GCGACAACCAGACTACCAGCGAACAGTGTCTACACGACTGTGTATGGCGACAACCAGACTACCAGCGAACAGTGTCTACACGACTGTGTATGGCGTTGCTTGTGTTCTTCAAACTGCACAGCCATCCTGACTCTTCTTCCTCAGTGGTTTTACCCCCTTCCCATGAATCCTTTGGCCTCTCAGGTTCCTCCCCAACCTTTTGAGTTGCTACTGTCACTTTGATCCCATATAGATAGGAAGGGGCTTCACAAAGTTTGTGGGAAAGTTCCATTAGCTTTTCATGTGAATCCCCTTCATCGTTATGGAAAAAAAGCATAGTCCTCAAGGCAGATATTTTCCTAGTTTAGTTAAACTATTGTTTGGTTTAAATAAGACCTCAGAGCTTATTTTTGTTTGAACTTCAGTGGATTCTCTCAAGGCAGTAGTTTTGGGGTTTATCCAACCTTCATGGCTCCAGGAAGTTAGTGACCTATGAGGATTTAAATTTCGTTCTGCATTTCCCCTTTTGATCAGGATTCTTCTGTGGAATCTTTGATCGAAGTGTCTGTAACGGTAGCTGAGCAACATCCAGTTCTCATCTGGAGGCATAGGAGGTAATTAGCTACACATTCCCATTCTACAGGGAAAGCAAGTATTTTCCCAGGAAGTTTCTTGGGGCAGTTAGCTTAAGTGCTAGTATAATAGAAAGGGCCCAGACTCTGGAGATGTGGATTTCAGTTGTACCCATTACTTACTGGCGGGACAATTTTAAGTAAGACATCTTAATTTCTCAGCTGCTTTTCTCTCTCTTGAAAATTCAGATAATAGTTCTCATCTTGTCCAACTTGGTGTTTTGAGAATCAAGTGATGCAGTGTATGAATTTTATAAATGGGGAAACTGCTGTTGAAATGGAGAAGATGGGTGGTACTTACATCTGTTCTTTTGTGTGAAATTAGTATGGAAAAACAAGTAGGTCTATCTAAGAATGTTTTTTAAGTTAAGCAAGTCACCTTTCTGTGGAAAGTAATTCTTATTTCAGTTGTCTTCATTTCATAACAACGTATCTTTGAACATGACTCCTCTGGTGTTCTAAATATTCAGCTTTCTAAGCCCCGATATCAAACCAAGGGACAAGTTTATGTGGGAAATCTACTGCACAAGGTCTCTATAAAGTGCTGAAGAGCAAGGATGTCACTGTGAGGACTAAGGTGCTCCTGACCCAAGCCATGGTATCTTCAATCACCTCATATGCATGTGAAAGTTAGACACTGGATAAGTTAGACCAAAGACGAACTGATGCATTTGAATCGTGGTGCTGGTGAAGAATATTGAAAGTACCATGGACCGCTAAAAGGACAAACAGATCTGTCTTGGCAGAAGTACATTCAGAATGCCTCTTAGAGGCAAGGATGGAATGACTACTTCTTACATACTTTGGATGTCTTGTTTGGAGAGACCAGTTCCTGGAGAAAGACCTCATGCTTGGTAAAATGGAAGGGTAGGGGAAAAGAAGACCCTCAACAAGATGGATTGACACCGGGGCTGCAACAATGGGCTCACGCATAGGAGCAATCCAGAGGACGGCGCAGAACCAGGCAGTGTTTGTTTTGTGGTGCAGAAGGTTGCTCTGGGTCGGCACTGACGCAGTGGCACCTCACAGCAACTGTTCTTGGAGACAAAAGGGCAGGAAAAGGAGAAGGGCCCTCCGTCAGCTGTGTTGGCACAGTGGCTGCCACCGTGGGCTTCTGCACAAGAATAATTGCGAGCGTGGTGCGGGACCAGGCAGTGTTTGGTTCTGCTGTACAAGGTTCCTATGGTTGGAAACAAGTAGACAGCACCTAACAACAACAGGAAGGGTTGTGTTTTTTGAGTAATTATTTTAAGTATAGATTTTCGCATTTACATATTTAAGTACAAGAAAGCATAAAGTCTTCATGAAGTCAGGGGATGCCTATCTTGGTCTTAATTATCTTTATTGTATAACACCGATTCACAGTACTATTTGTTAAGTGAAAAGACAGTTTTTCACTAAAATTTGATTGTTTCATTACATTTGAATCTAAGTTGGCCTCTACTTTTTGAAGGTTATTGATAATTCATTTTCAATTTGTTCTCTGGTTCAGAATAAGAAACACGGATGTAAAAATGAGGAGGTGCTTGCTGTACTAGGTCATGAACTGGGACACTGGAAATTGGGACATACCGTCAAAAATATCATTATTAGCCAGGTAAGTTTCAGGTCAAAATTCCTTGCTTCAGCATAATAGCCAAAATAGAGGTGTGGTGGGCATGAGAAGTAGCACAGTAGAGAGGATCAGATGACTCCAGGGCTGGGCTAACTGGCTTCACACCTTGGCTCCCAGTTACTACCTGTGCAATGTCTGGTGACTTCCTAAATGTCTCTCTGCCTCCATTCTTTCATTGAATGATAATACCACTGAAGTCCAGTGTTAGCATTGAATGGGTCAATATATGTGAAGAACTTACATTGAGTAGTGTTTACTGTGGTTACCACCATGATCATTTTCATTTCCCGATTCACTGGGATCTAGTTTGTTCCAAGGAGCCCTGGGGGCGTGGTGATGGTTAAGTGCTGGGCTGTGACTCCTTTAGGGTTGCTGAGTCAGAGTGACTCAACGGCAGTCCGTTTGAGTTTGTTCCAAAACCTTGATCCTCTGATCAAACCCTTATGTGTCCATTGACCTCCTCCAAACAGAGTGGACAGTGATACACTACTTAAAGTTCACCTAAGGAGCCCCAGTGGTAGAGTGGTTACTCAACGGGCTGGGATCCACAGGGTTGGCAGTTCTATACCTCCAGGAGCTCCGCAGGAGAAAGACTGGGCTTTCTAGTCCCAGAACAGTTACAGTCTCGGAAACCCACAGGGGATCACTATGAGTCAGCACTGACTCCATGCGAGGAGTGAAAGTTCACCTCACTGGGATGATTTCTCTTCTCCGCTGTCTTTCAGGATCATCCTTAATGGTGCTGTAATGCCCAAACAGTCCATTTTCAACTGCTACCAGCATGTTGTATAAAGTTATGTATAAAATAGGCTCAACTTTTTTCCTCCTCAATGAAATAATTATGGAGAAGAGTAAAGATTGATTAACGTGTGGCAGGAGTGGGAATACAAAGAGTAAGGGCCATCTACCTACTCATGTAACTTCACCCTTGATGGCCTGCTTCATTGCCATTCCTTTGTACTCTACGTAACCTGATGATGCCAGCTACATGGATCAGCTCCAGAAAGCAGCTCACATCATAGGATCCTGGTGTCTGGTGGCCAGAAATTCAGTTTCAACTAGTACACAGGAGCAGGGAACAAAAGTTATTTTTCAAAAGGAGAATGGCTGCTTGATGGGCACGGTATGAATAACTTGGCTCCAGAGTTCTCGGGGCCTTCTCTGAGAGGTGTTTAGTGAGGCTTGCTGTATTGGATCCACTGGGGTTGAGTGCTGGCTTGCAGAACTGCTTGCTCTTCACCCTGGGTCAACGGGGTCTCGCTCGGCTCCGAGCCCCGCTCTAAGCTGGTACTTTTTTCAGTCACCTGGTAAATGATTCCAAGTATCTATTTGGGTTGGGGGAGGGGTGGGGGGAGGATCAGAGGTTCATGGAAGATTTCACTATCTTTTAATTCCACTTTTGAATTCCCTTGGATGTGACCTCCAAAATCCTAATCTGCTAAAGGAGAGGAATGGTATTTGTTCTTCAGCTTTACTCTAAGGCAGTGTTTCTCAACCTGTGGGTCTTGACCCCTTTGGGAGTCAAACGACCCTTTTACAGGGGTTGCCTGATTCATAACAGTAGCGAAATTACAGTTATGAAGTAGCAACGAAAATAACTTTATGGTTGGGGGTCACCACAACATGAGGAACTGCATTAAAGGGTCTCGGCATTAGGAAGGTTGAGAACCACTGCTCTAAGGGGTCATATTAGTGTACAGACTTGATTTTTTTTCTTCTTCTCATGCATGGATAGAGAGCTTGGTGATTTTTCTTGACCCTCCTTAACTACTCAGTACAGCTTCCGTGGTCGTAAAGGTAACTTAAAGGAAGCTGGCTGCTGTAGAAGGAGCCCTGGTGGTGCTAGGCTACTAACCATAAGATCAGCAGTTTAAACCCACCAGCCACTCCACAGGAGAAGGATGAGGCTGTCAGCGCCGGGAAAGATTGAGTCTTGGAAACACTACTCAGGGTCCCTGTGAGTCAGAGTCCGTTGAATGGCAGTGGATTTGTTTTGCGTTGTGTGGCTTTGGAACTGTCAGAGCAAGGTCAGGTAGGAAGGAGGCTTTGTCTGATTAGGGTCTTAGGTGAACAAGACAGTCTTGCCCTTTAGCTTGTAACATTTGGTGGGGGGGAACAGGGCCAGTGGGAGTATCTTATTGCGGTTGACTACCTCAAATCCTCAACCACAAGAGGCTCAACTTAAGCCTGTCCCTATGAAAAATTAAACCGTTTACAAATTAGGTCTATTATGCACAGACATATCAATGTTCTATTTTAGAATAAAATGAAAGCATGAAACTCCCTATGTGCTTGTTCTATGATCACACTAAAACTACAGTTAAAATCACACCCTGGGGGTTCGGTTTGGCTTGGTTTTTAAGCTTTTTATTGTGTCTGGGGTGAAAGTCCACAGGACAGATGGGGTTTTTCTTCAGTGATTAATGCACGTGAGTTTCTGTGACACTGAACACTAGTTCTGTTTTTCTTGTGTTTCTGATCCCACCGTGAAATTCTAACTTAGAAATGCTGTGCGCCTCTTCTAGATGAACTCCTTCCTGTGCTTTTTCTTGTTTGCTGTGCTAATTGGTCGAAAGGAGCTTTTCCATGCATTCGGTTTTTATGAAAGCCAACCCACTCTCATTGGACTGCTGATCATCTTCCAGTTCATTTTTTCCCCTTACAACGAGGTAATGTATGATCTTGAAAATTATCTCACATGTGCCCTTGCCTGCTTGAAATCTAGCTCTGCTAGGGAGGTGGAAAAAGGCCATGGGCAATTGCCAGCTGTATAGTTTCAACGAATAGATGAAGCGCAGGCTTTTAGTTCCTTGATGGATTGGTTGATATTAGAAGGTGGCAGAAAAACCCAAGCCAGAATAAACAAATACTTAACCTCCTGTTACAAGAAATAGTGGAGAATTACACTTTAGTGGTGAAATCCTAAGCTGATCTCAGAGACTTGGTAGAGGTGATGTGCTGTTTCCATGCTTCCCCTTAGTATTCGCTTCCTAGAGCACCTGTAGTGAGTTACCACAGGCTGTTTGGTTGAAAACCACAGCACAGTGTTGTATCCGAATCTGAAGGCTAGACCCAACATTCAGGGCATCCGCAGGGCCTGGCTCGACCAGAAGTCTCTTACCTTGTTGCAGCAAAACTCCAGCGTCTGCCTTCACCCTGCTGCACCTGATTGTATTCCCCATCTCTTCTCTTCTTAAAAGGGAACTAGTCATACTGGATTAAAGCCTACTCTTGTCCTGTATGACCTCATGCTAATTTAATTACATCTATAAAGACTACTTTCAAATAAGGCCACATTCTCAGACTAGGAGGTGGGGCTGGTATGTACTTTTGGGGCTTGCTTAACGCACTAAGGGTACATCTGTGTGTGAGAGGGGCACCTGTCTAGCAGTATTCCTCAGATTGTCTCCAAATCGCCTTAGAGTTCCACCGCAGGCTCACTCTACATCACTGATGTTTAACCACCCCTGCTATGGGATAGCTCCTTAGGGGGCTTTCAAATGTGTGACGAGGCGTCGGCTAATGAGACTATACTAGGGGCAGCGAAGAGTTCATGGGAAAATTCCACTCTTAATTCTATGAGCTTTTTGAAACCCCTTCATATTACCAGACCCAACACTGGCACCTCCTCATGCTATTTGGTAAGGCTTCCCAACGAAGCTAAGAAATACAGAGATCTGAGGTATCCGTTTAGGAGAATTCTTTAGTGGGTCAGTCGTGGCACTAAGGTTTTAAGATGAGGTCAGTGAATTCCATTTTTCCTTTAAAAAAAAGGATGGGGATGTGGCCCCTAGGGAGGAAAAATGGAGAGTCTTATTTGATTAGCATGGTCTATATACACGAAACGTTTCCAGAAAACTGAGATAATCAAATTTACATTCTAAAAGGCTTCAGTTTTATCATAACTTTTATTAAAAATGTTCATAAAATACCTTACAGTTTATTAGTGCTTAAAATAGTGGATGCAGAACACTTTGTAATAATAGTGCTATTTTCATCTACTACCGTTGGTAATGTCTCGAGCATGCTGAGCAGTGTGTGTTAAATAGGCTTCCGCACTTTCTTCTTTTCTCCCTGTCCCCACTCCCTCCTATCCCTCTCCTTACTGTCAGGCTGGTCATTCTTGTGACACTCGGTTATGGGCATTGGTAGTTTTCTCCTTTGATCTGCCCTGGACTAGGAAACGAGATGACCACGCTGGCTACGTGAGAGTTACAAGATCGGCCTGGGAGGACGGAGCCATTTGGTTGGGAAGGTCTGAGCAGCACTAGCGGCGTCCCTTGTGGTCTCGAATTTGACTGTTCAAGGATTTGTTTTGTTGTTTCCATATATTCAGTGGTGGAGTTCACTTCATAGACGGTGAGGAATTGGGGGATAAAGGGGATTTTAAGTGTTAGGATTAAACCACAGAGACATTAGCAGCTGCTCTAAAAAGCTAGGAGCCCCTGGGAGCTGTTTCCAGAAGACCAGATGGCTGAGCAGAACTTCCTCGTGCTTGATGTCAGAGGCGAAGGTGTCACCAGAGGGAAGAGCATTTCCCGTGGGCAGATGGGCAGCTGCCCTGTGAAGAAGCATGTGGAAACCGACAGCGGAGCCAATCCATGCAGCTGAACAGGTCAATCTCCGTTTACAAGCGTGCTTTGCCAGGGATGCAGGATCAGGAGCTAAAGGCAGGAAGACAAAACTCATTGACCGCTTGAGTAACAAAAACAAAATCCAACAAAACAGAAATTAAAATAAAATAAAATCCATGGAACCAGTTAATGTTTCTGTCCTCAAAAATACATTCAAGATTTTAAAAAGAGACTGCAGACTGATTCACTTATTAGCTTTGAACCTTCCTGAGGGAGCTATCAGGGATACCCAGACTTTATTTTGAAACTCAGTACTTGATACTGATAATAAGTGGACAACTACAAGGTGAGGTGGGTTTTTTGCTTTTTAAAAACTTTTTTTTTGTGCCTAAGTATTTTAAGGATAACCTACAAAGTAATGTTTTTTCCCTCAGAATTGATGTTTTTAAATTCAATTTGTCCCTTCATAGTTGTCACATTGGGAGCCTTGTGTGCTTACTCTAGTGATGCTGCCTCGTGGCTTACACGGTTTTGGAAAATTCTGCTTTAGATAGTTGTTAGAGGCTGCAGTATGTATTTGTTATCCTCAGTGAAGACGTCATTATTCTGTAAAGGGAGAGAAGTCAGAGCAGGAGAGGTGGAGTAGTGCACTGACTTGGAGGGTGGGGGTGTGCAGTGTTGACAGCCACAGACATGCTTAGCACTCCCACCTGAGGGCTGTGTGACCTGAGGTAAGTTATATAACCTCTCTGAGCTTCACTTTTCTCATCTGCAAATAAGGGTAAGTCTCGGGACATGGCACCTTCTCAAGAATTAGTATTTTGGGTGAGGATAGCATTCACTTGGATATGTGTCTCTGGTCACTTTGGGAGGAGAACAATAAGTAAAAGACTTGATTTGTAATAGCTCTTCCATGGGCGTGAGGCTCTCTAAGAACCAGCTGACTTGTCTTTCGCCTACTCTTGTTTTATCCTAAACCAGATTTTCTCTCTTTTGTCTCAGTTTCTGAGCATGCTCTTTAGTGACAGCCAAGCAAACGGTGGGCAGTGGTTGAAACCCTCTCCTGTCCTTTTTCAGGTTCTGTCTTTCTGCCTAACAGTCCTGAGCCGCAGATTCGAGTTTCAGGCAGATGCATTTGCCAAGAAGCTTGGGAAGGCCAAAGACTTAGATTCTGCTCTGATCAAACTAAACAGAGATAACTTGGGATTCCCAGTGTCTGACTGGCTGTATTCAATGTGGCATTACTCTCATCCTCCGCTACTAGAGAGACTGCAAGCTTTGAAAACCACAAAACAAGACTGAAATGCCCAGGGCCTGCGGCCGAAGCCGTTTCGACGAGTTCTGTTCTGGCAGTGTGTTCCTAGCTCTTGATGTTTGTAACTTTTTCTTTTTTCCCCTCCAGCAAAACGACTTAAGTACAGAAAAGCCCAGCTTTAAATGCATTTAAGACCTCATTTTAAAAATTACTTTAATGTTACACTTCCTAAAGGAAACACTGGGTGAAACTTTGAGACCATGTTTTAACGGTATAGTTTTCTTTTATCTTTGACCTCTGCTCATTGTCAACTTTTTAATTATTTGAGAATATTCAGACCTTGTTAAATTATACACTTGTATGGAATCTGCATAGAAGGTATTGAGGGAGCTGGGCATGTGTTTAAGAGGGTCCCTCTGAAGGCAGAAATGAGGGCCCAATCATTGTGCTCATCCCAGAGTTGAAATTTATTTTTATTTTCATACTGTGATGATTTAACTTGGCCAATCAGTGTTTTAAATAAGGAACAAAGATAATAGTGGGTAAAGTCAATGTTATTTAAATGAAAGTTGTTAGGAATAGACTTATACTATTTTATCTAATTCTGTGTTCTCTCGCAGGACACTTCGACCAAGAGTGTCTAATAGTGCTTTGAAATGGGAGATGTTTTTTTAAGAAAAATCATTTTATTGGAGGTTCTTACAGTTCTAATAACAAGCCACACATCGATTGTATCAGCAGATTTGTACATATGTTGCCATCAGTCAGATGTTTTAAATCAGTGTATCTTTCTCTTGTGATTGTTTAAGAAAACCTCAGTCTTTCCACCCAATGGGTATGACCCCATCAGGTAAGCAAGTATGACCCCATACTTAAGCAGCCATTTCTCATTTGAATAAATGAGAATAACGTGTGCGTCCTTTCGCTTAGCAGAAGTCGCCATATTGAACAGGTGTTGCTCTCTTACAAATGTCAGAACCTGCTAGAGAAATGTTTTCAGGGACATGCAGATGAAAACTGCGGATTCTCTGGTGGAATTCTAGGAAAGTAGTTTTCTATCAAAATGTCAAGGACAGAAGAGGTTGTTTTCCTGAATGTTTTATCAGTAAGTCGTAAGTACCATTTAATTGGGCCTTATTCCACTTTTGCAATTGTAATTCTTGCTATGCAGACTATTTTTAATTTGAAAGCAAGTGTCGTGAGAGGTTTCTTTTGCAGTTACAGACGGCATATGTCCGATTCCTTCAAGGTCCTCGCCACTCTGAGCAAGAACTCACTTTGTGCCTAGAGTCCCCACTCCTTGATGTTTACCTCTGGGCACTGATTCCAAAATGGGGTCAATGGAGTGCCCTGGGGTTTTTGCTCAGCTGACCTTTGAGTGATGTCTTTATATGGAAATAGAATTTTTTTTAAATGAAAATCTAGTTTCCTGCTGCTTGGTTTACTTTCCGAAGGCACACAGGAGCGCCCGCCTTTAATCTCCTTTCTTGTGCCCTCCCTGTGTGTATTCATGTTGTGACCATTGCCTTTCCTTCTGTGCCTTTCAAGACACATTTCAGTTCTGCACACGTACATGAAACAGTAAAAGTTGCCATGGAGATTTACGTACTTTGTCTTTAATTTGAGAAAGCGTGTGTGTCAGCTGACACCTAGGAGGACTCGTGGCTCCTCGAGGGAGGAGCGGGCACTGCTGGGTGAAGCATGGCCCTCCGCTGAGTGGTGCCCACGATGCTGCCGCTCTCCTGCTTGACGCCCAGAGCCCTCGGCCGTGTGTTTCCTGGTCCACTCCGGCACCCGTTCTTGCCCATGTTTCCCACTCGGAAACCTTTCCTCCTCCACTGCCATGACCTCAGTTGTCTTGGGCCTGCGGGTCTGCTCTGGCCCTTTTCCTTGGTCTTCCTTGAACGTGGCAGCAGTGATTAGCTTCTTAATCTGTGACCATTTCGATTTAGTTAATTGCAGCTTACGGATGTCAGAGGCAGAAAGAAACAAAACTCTGCAAGTGATGGGTTCCCACTCACAGTGAGGCGATAGGACAGAGTAGAACTGCTCCTGCAGGTTTCTGGGACTATAAATCTTTAAGGGAGTGAAAAGCCTCATCTTTTGTGTGTGTTTGTTTATAAATCATTTTACTAGGGGCTCTTAACAGCTCTTAAAACAGTCCACGCATCCATTGGGTCAAGCACATTTGTACATATGTTGCCATCATCATTTTTAAAACATTTTCTTTCTACTTGAGCCCTTGGCATCAGCTCCTCTTTTCCCCCCACCCTCCCACCCTCATGACTCCTTGATAACTTATAAATTATTTTCATATCTTACACCATCTGCTGTCTCCTTCACCCACATTTCTGTTGTTCGCCCCCAAAAGCCTCATCTTTATCCCAAGGAATGTTTAGTGGTTTTGAACTACCAGCCTTGTAGTTAGCAGCCGAACTTGTAACCCACTATACAATCAAGGCTCCTTGGTAGGGACAGAGGGAGAGCCCAAAGGAGAATGCTAAGTTTCCTGAGCTCCTGACCAAGGAGGAACGAAGTAGCACCATGCACCCTATTACTTGGTGAATATTCAGGAATAAGGTAGTTCAGAGCCTTGGGTAAAATGGCACACTACCTCAGCGAGATTGATGTCTAAATTCTAAGTAGAGTTTGTTGTGTGAATGTACTGACTTGTGTCCATGGTGCCCTTTGCCAGCTCTGAGAGTTGTTAGTAAACTGTTTTAGACAGGAGCAGTTTCTGGTATTGATGCCGTGGGTTCACTTAGTCTGCCCGTCCCCCCCCCGTACATCGCCCCCTCCCCGAGCCCTTGTGCTTGGTATCGTCCATCTACCTCTGGATACTATACATACACACTTGATGTGGCTTTTTTGGTATATAAATTAGCCAAAAACTAAGCGAAGGCCTTAAGGTCTGCCCTAGGTGCAGCACAAAATGACAGCATTTGAAGGTTTATCCAAAATGTTTTATTTGAAACCATGCTGATGTGAGCAAGGAGGTTGAACGCACTTGTGTATCCGCTTACAAACAGTCCAGAGAGAAAGCAAACAGAATCCAGGGTAGGGTGGCTTACAGGTGGAAAAACTGCCTCTTATTATGCAGGGTGTTTTGGGCGGAGGACTATCTAAGACAGTTGGCTGGAGATAGATCGATCGCTAACGATTCGATTCATGGTGATCCTATAGGACAGGGTAGAACCGCCCCAGTGGGTGCCCAAGACTAACTCTTTATGGGAGTAGACAGCCACCTCTTTCTCCTGGAGATCAGCTGGTGGTTTCGAACTGCTGAACTCATGAATAGCAACCCAACATGTAACCACAATGCCCCCAGGGTTCCCAGTGGAGATGTGTGTAGGTGGCATTTAAAGCCCTCGGACTGGGTGAGATCATGAGAGGAGCGAGAGAAACAGATGTGGTTTCCGAGACCGTGTTTCAACCTTCAGGCGCAGGGAGGAAGAGAGAGCAGCGAGATCCGAGAAAACAAGGTGAACTAGAAGCCAAATCAGACAGCTCCGAATGGAAAGGGAGGCAGAAGTGAGACGGAAACAGAAACATGCAAACAGAAAAGCTTGCCTCGCAGGGTGGTGAGCTCAATACTGGTGTTTATTAATCGTGATAATACTAATAGCTGCATAATTGGTATGATTGCAATTAGCACAAACTATAGAGGAAAGCAAGACTTCGTTTCCCTTACTTTGGACATGTTGCCAGTCCCGGGGGAGGGACACCCTGCTTGTGAAGTGGAGGGGCAGGGAAAGGAGGACGGCCCTCAATGAGATGGATTGGTGCAGTGGCTGCAGCGATGGGCTCAAACACAAGAACGGCTGTGAGGATGAGGATGGCAGGGACTGGGCGGTGTTCTATTCTGTGGCACTTAGGGCCGGTGTGAGTCAGAAGGGCTCGACAGCACTATGGGGGGAAGAGCCTAACCCAGCCGGACAAGGAGAGAATGGCACAGGACACACCCACATTTTAGGGTTGCAATCCGTTAGACCCAGAAGGGGAGGGGAGCAGCACTCCAGGAACCAGCAGGTGCAAACGTATGAACACATGGGCGTTTTAGAATCTAAAGGAAAAAGCTGGGAGGGTGGGGGGCGGGGGAGATGAGCCCAGAGAGAAAAGCAAGGAGTTTGTGCCCAACTCAAGTATTTGGATATTAATCCCAATAAGGTAAGCGTTCACTTAATTAAAATACATTAACTTCCTGCTAAATTCTTGAGTCCTATTGCTCAGGATAAAGCAGTAAGTTGGACAAACAAAATCCTCTACTTCCCAGGCTTAGAGCACCACTAGGGAGTGAATGAAACATTCCCTCCAGGAAAATTCACCTACCAGGACGTCTTACCAGGACAACCAGCCCGACCCAGGTTCCATGCTTCTCGGAGAGTGCTTCCTGAAGGGGTTAAACACATGGGTGAGAGGTACCCGCCACACCCTGCCCTACTACTGCTGCCCCTGATCCGTTAATGCCCCTCATGCAGTGGGCTCCCTGACCTGCAGAGCTATGGGGCTGGGAGACCTTGGGAGGGTATATATCCAATCTGAGTCAGCTTCACATCTCCCCTGGGTGCACCCTTAGTGAGTGTACCTAAATGGGTGTCATTTCTGCTCCCACCATCCAGGTCCATATCAGGCTTTCTCACTGATCTAGGAACCCCGAGCCACGTCTTCTTTCTAAGCTCTCCCCCAACCCCTCACCTGGGCCCACTGTACCACGAGTGCCAAAATGCACAGAGGGCCTCTCAAGTGCCAGGCCTTGGCACGACATAGTGTGTTTTAGACTCAACTCAATAAGGCCCCATTGGTCCCTGCTACAGCTGTACAAAGGCTCAGAAAAGATCTGTACACGGTTACCTGGCAGGTCGCGGTCCTGATGCCACCATTACTTATTCCCACATGTGTCCTACCATGGCAGGCCAGGCCATCTGAATGCTTGAAATTCAGGCTGTGCCTAGAGGAAGGTATTCCACACACTGCCCTCCCTCCCTGACCTCCTGCCCAGGCCGTGGAGACTCGGGAGCCACGTCCCACCCCCAAACTTTGCGAAACAACAACTCCCGTGTTGGTTTGTACCCAAGTTGGGGCTTTTATTTAGAGACTGCTTGAGTGGACCTGGGGAGGAGGGTCGTGCACGGAGATAGGGAGATAGAGGGGTGTTTAAATACTCAGGAGGTAGGGAAGAAGTAGTGGAGCTGGCTTGAAATGGCCACCTTAGGGTAGCCTCCCATCAGCAGCCCCCCAGGAAGTCCAGGGGCTAGTGATGGTGGAGACCTCAGTCCATCTGCCCCAAGGACAAGATGGTCCGTGGGAGGAGGCCGAGTCAGGAGCGATTTGGCCACATCCAAGTGGTGGTCTGAGAAGGCAAGCCCCCCATGCTTCGGAGCTTCAACTCCAGCGGCACCGCCCTGACGGGTGGCCTTTCACCCTGATGCTGGCCCTTCCCTTCCCCTGTGTTTTAGAATGTCCTTTTCCTCAAGACGCCGCTCCACGACAGAAGTTCTATAGGAAAATTAGTTTCCCGGGCTGGAGGTTGGAGTGCCTGCCCACCCAAAGGGGATCTAGTTCTTTCCTCCTGGATGCTGGTCTCTGCCCTGGCCGGATGCTCACGGCCCCTTGATGGATCCCGGTTCCGTCAGGCGGGCCGAAGCATAGGCTGAGGCTCCAAGACAGGCTGCAGGCTCACAGAAGCCAGGCAGCCCCACGGGACCTGGCAGGCCAGGGCGGCCCATCTCTCCTGGAGCCCCTGGGGAGCCTCGGTCCCCGTCCTTGCCGTTGATTGACTGGCCAGGCCGGCCAGGGAGACCTGTGTAAGGGAGACGTTCTGTCAGATCAGAACCCTGGAATTCTTAAGGCTGCTGGTTCAGAGTTGGAAGAATGAGACCTCAGTCGGGGTGACTCTGAGTCCTGTGTGGTTGTCTATTACTCCCCAGTCCCAATCAGTGAACCCTGCGAGCAAAGGCCCCTGCCTTCCCCACCAGGGAGCAGATCCCGGCCTCCCAGCAAGTTCTAGGAATCTGGTGGTCCAGTTCCCAGCCGAAGAGGCTCGAACTTCAGAGGGAGGCTAAAACCCAACTGGGCCATCTGGGGCCCCAGCTGACTGAGTATGAGGCTTCTGTGAAGGGACCCAGGTGTGCACAGGTCATTAGAGCCCAGAGTCACAAGTAGGACTGCAGCTGGGTGGGGCCCAGGTCTTACCTGGGATCCCCGGAGGTCCAGGCATCCCGGAGTGCCCACGCCCCATGTCTCCTTGATCACCTTTCTCTCCACGTTTTCCTGCAGAGAAAGATGGGAGCCATCAATTTTTAGAACTGGCAGGCGATTTCCATACTTTATTCCCTAGTTCTAGTCTTGGATTAAGCCCTGGTGACAAGTGGCTAAAGTAACCTGGTGCTAACCCAAAGGGTCAATGGTTCAATCCCAGCAGTCACTCCACGGGAGGAAGGTGTGGCAGGCTGCTTCAACAAAGAATACCCAGAAATACCCCATGATCCAGCAACTCCTCGACTTGGCATATAGCCTCGACAGATAGTGTATGGGACTACTGTTGGAGAATGTGAGAATGTATTCTCACACTAAAAGAAACATTCCTTCATGGTTACCGGGGCATGAATCACTGGCTTGGGGGTAGCCAAGTGTTAACGCGGATGAAGGAGAAAACTATGCAATGAGAAGTCGAAAATGATGGAGGCCAAGGAAGACATTGGGAGAAGTGCAAGAGTTCAAGTTACATGCCCAACCCTGACATCCTATGGGTGTGGGAAGGAGAGAGGGCATACATCCACAGATCGATAGATATAAGTTTGACAAAGGGCGTTGGTGGTTAGGTATTTACCTTTGCTACAAATGTTTCCAGGAAGGTGGTGGGGCATACAGAGGGCAAAGTTATGAAAACTCCGTAGATATAACCAAACAGAGGGAATGAGGCCTGTGGCCTCAGGATCATGGTCTCAGACGCCTAGGTCAACTGGCACCATCCATAAAGACAATGACTATTCTGCATCGTATTTTGGTGAGTAGTGACTGGGGTCTTAGAAGCTTGTGAGCAGCCGGCTAAGGTGCACCTTTTGGCTTCTCGTCCACAAGGAAGAATAGTGAAGAAAATAAAAGAAACCTGGAAGCAATTAGTCCATTGGACAAGTGGACCCACACAAATGTCCCTTCCGTCTCTACAACCCCGAGATGAGAAGAACTAGATGGTGCCCAGCTACCACGACCAACCACTTTGAAAGGGATCACAGTAGAAAGATCTGGATGGAAAGTGGGAGATGTGGAACAAAAGTCAAAATCATAAAAACAATGGAGCTAACTGGTCACAAAGCGACTGGCAGAGCCCCCGAAACTATGGTCTTTAGTAGCCATTAAGGCCTGGCAGTGCCTTCAGCCCCATGACTGTGCACCAAACAACAGACAGGACAGGTCTTAAGGGGGGACAATAGCTCTAGGGAGGCATGTACACCTTAAAACAACTCTTGAGACCAAAAGGGCAGCATTTATCCACAAACAAACTCCAGAGGAATTAGGGAAAAGAAGGAATGGAGACAGGAGACAGGGTGGAAGTGGGGTAAGCCACGCTACAGTGTGAGGATTGCAGTCAATGACAGGAAACACAATGAGGACTGTTGACTGTATTACGCGTCTGTAAACTTAGCCCACCCCAAAAGGAAAATGATTTACATATGTGTGTGTATAAATTTTTAAATAGCCTTGAAATCCCCTGTAGGGCAGTTCTACTGTGTCCTATACAGTTGGCTATGCTCAGCAGCACTGGCTTTGGTTTGGAGTTTCTGGGTAGTTTGTCATCAGGAAAGTTAGAAGTGATTATGTATGAAGTCCCAGACATTGAATGGAAGACTGTAGTTATTAAAACATATTACAGGAAAGCACCTAATTACAGTACCAATCCAAACCGATTGCCATGGAGTTGATGCTGACGCATGGTGACCTCAACATGTGTCTGAGTAGAACTTCTCTCCGGGTTTCGGTGGCCCATTTTTCAGAAGTAGATTGCCAGGCCTTTCTTCTGAGGGGCCTCAGAGTAAGCTTGCACACCCCAGCGACTCCGAATCTACGTGCCAAGCAGTGAACTAAGAACTGGATGGAAATCACCTCTAGACCGAATCCCCACAGTTGGTTTTACTAGCCCAACTTTAGATCAACCGAAGGCCCAGGGAGATGAAGAAACGGGTCACTTGCCCTAGGTGCGCAAATCGAAAGTGATTGGTCTGTGACTCCAGAGCCTGCCTTTACTACTTTTCCTTAAATTTCCCCTTTTTGGCCCAGGAATTTGCAACATGGGCAGGCACTGCCAGAAGTATCTCGGATTTGTTACACGTTTGATTTTGAATTAAATGTTGGTCGTTGCCAGTTCAGAAACCTTTTACTGTTACAAACCTTTCCCCACATTCAGTTATACGGCCCCATAAGGGGTTTAAGAAGCTTTGCCTAGAACATGGAAAGATGTTGGAAAGGTTCCACCAAGTTCAAAAACGGGGGACAAATAACCCTTGTCTAAGACCAGTATGTTCATTGTTCATTTTCAGCAAGTTGCTACTGGGCCGGAAAGCCTAGGAGTGCACACTTCCTGAAAAACCTGGTTGAGATGAAATGCCTGTGGCTCTTCTTGGGAAGAGGTTGATGACCAGGGGACAGCCAGCCAGCAAGAAGCCCGACACCTGCCCCCATCACTGTAGAACTAACTTCACACTTACCCTTGGGCCCTGTATTGCCGATCTGACCCACAGCTCCCACGATGCCAGGAATCCCCCGAGAGCCAGGGTGCCCATGGGGTCCTTGTTTGCCTGGGTACCCAGGGGGGCCCGGGGGCCCTGGAGGGCCCATCATTCCAGCTGCACCCAGGGCTTCCCGCTTGGCACTCACAGCCACCTCTGCCAGTTGCTCTGGAAGGAAGGGGGTAAGGAGAGGGGTCTGCTGGTGTCACTTCCAAGTCCAACCCCTGCCCTGGGTTTGCAGCAGAAAAGCCCATGCTCCTTCGCGCCCTCCATCCCCAGGCTTCCTGCTACTGAAGTCAGGCCCAGAGAGGGCTGGGCTTGTGCAAGATCTCACAGCTACTGAGAGGCAGAGCTGGGATGAGCACTCAGTTCCCTGAATGAGGAGGACCACAGGGCGAGGGAGAGACTCCTGCCAGGTGGACATGCACTGAAATGGTGTGGGGGATGGGGGTAAGGGACTTCCCCTCACCTTGAAGCATCTTCAGCACCACGTCCACGATATGCTGGTCACTGGCATCTCGGCCCTGAGAGCAGAGGGGCATTTCAGGATGCAAGTCAGCCCTGAGCTGCCAGCCATGACCCCATTTCAGGATGCAAGTCAGCCCTGAGCTGCCAGCCATGACCCCGGCCCCCTGCTCCCATGGGGGCATCAGGGAGCAGGCTCCTCTCAGGAGGGTCTTTCCAATATCAGACCCCTCTTCTCTGATCTGGGCCTTGGCACCAACCTTAGGGAAGCCAGTCAGCTTTGAGGGACTCCTGAGCCTTTGGGGAAAAGGCAACACCCCAAAGACAGGTTTGGAGAACCTTTCGTGGGAGGGGGCGCCCTCCCCCTCCCCTCGAGGAACTCACCGCCACACCCTGTCTCCCAGGTAGCCCCGGCACGCCTCTGTCGCCAGCCATTCCTCGAGGCCCTGGGAGTCCAGGGTAGCCCTGTCCGCCTGGGGCGCCAGCATCCCCGCTGGGTCCAGGGTAGCCAGGTTCTCCGCGGATTCCTTGCTGCGAGGAGGCGGAGCGGGGCGGGTGCCACCGTGGGGGGAAGCCACTCAGTCGGGAGGGGAGGTGCGGGTG